TGGTTATTTCTAGTTCGCGCCTGATGCAGATCTTTCTTTTGTCATATCAGATGGAGTGATGTGTCAAAACACAAAGGTCTGAAATGTTTTCGTTCATTACACGCATTGAACGATTTTGAATAATTGAATAATCCGACCAAGAACCTCGGCATTAAGCGAACAATACAGGTAAAACCAGCCGAAGTTATTTCTCATTTCAGGACTGATGGTTTCCCCTTTTTGTCTTAAGGGGTCCGTATAATGCCTTTGATCAAGTTAAACTGAGGTTTCAAGTCTTCAAGAACACAATGATCTACTTTGGCTTTAAGCGCTGTAATAACACGAAATCAGGACCTACAGTTTTTTGCAAGCTTGGCAGCCGAAGTACAGGACATGGACCTGTTTTTTAGCTCATATTTGGGAAATTTGGCCTTAGAAGGCTGTCTCACTCACTGTTAAAGGCAGCATGTTACAGGCCTCAGCGAAGTGGGGTTCATCGCGAATCCCGATCTGCCATAAATTGTCATATCTGATGGTGTCTCCATAAGAATACGATCAATGCACGAAAATCGCCAGCGGGCACTGAAAATTCGGCGGAATTGTTATTTTGGTGGAACATGAGGGTTTTAATTGAAGAGTAAAACTCGTATAATGTTTCTCTTTCGATCACGTTGAGAACATAATTTCGTTTTTGACTTTCTGGTTTTGGTTAATCTCATCCCGGGGTGTAAGAACAAGCAGTTTGACACGAGTTGTTTTTCATGCAAAGACAAGAAAGGTGTGGAAGTTTACAAAGGGCTGTGTGAGGTGAATGTTATCAATGGACTGCACCGTCAGAATTGATTGTACAGTGGAAGTTGATCAGAGCCAGAATTGAACCGTATCGTCAAGTGATTGTGTGGGAGGTTGCATATAAGGTAAATGCGTTTCACTGAACATTTCAAGATCGCTTAAATGACCAAAATTCATTGAGAAGCCTAATAATTGGGTTTTGTCGAAATTGAAATTCATTTGAAAGGACAAGTTATGTGGTGCAAATTAAGGCATAGTTTGATGTTGGTTTCATTCTGTGAATTTGGATGGAATTTCCAAAGCTATATCTTGGATTTGCTAATATGAAACAGTAATGTCTTGCTGCAGAAGTGGGAAAGGCTTCACTGGCTGTACATAACACATAAGCAATAGTGGATGTATACACTGGAATTGACGAAAAGCAATAACACTCTGGTACAGCGAATTCACTATGCGGTTGTCCTAAACATTAAATACCACGATATTAAGTTGAATAAACAGTAAGCGTATGCAACAAATGCATTCCCTTACTGCTATTGGGGGCTTTGAAGAGTGTTCCCCCGAAACCAGTATAGTCAGTCAAAGGGTAATGCGGAAATAACATGACAAATTTCACAATGCAGTATTTTAGCAAAACGTTTGAAGTGTAACTGGGATCAATAGTTTACCGCCCCTTTTCAGACGCCCGGAATGCTTCAAATAGGTTATTAGTTAGCTGTATTAACCATCACGTTTGGGTGTAAAGGATCGGCGTGTGGCTTCAGCAATGGCTGAGTCGGTCACAACTTTGACGCAGTGAAATGGGGAGCGTGCGTTTGCGAATGATCATTTTTTTAAGTACAGAAGACATTTCCGACAGACAGATGCTTCGGAGCTGGTGGAGTCATAACCTATATTGATTTCACTGGCATTAATTTAAGTCGTCGTTATGTTCGAAGCAGCGGCGTGAGTCCTTGCCTAAGTCACCAAGACTTCTGCCCATTCAAAGAGTGTGTCTTCACTTGCATCTTGGTGACTGTTGCCTGTGTCGCCATAGGTACACCTTGATTCGTGCATTTACGGGACGCAAAGGGTGGAGGGCTTGTTTTACTTGCAAAACGTTTTACTAATTATCACGGTGTGTTGTCATGATAGTTGGGATTCCTTTCCTTTACGTGTAACCACGCAAACCAATGACTAGCTGTTGCTGGTTTTTTCCGATTTTAAACTCTCGAAGCACGACCCAACAGCAAAGCCGCTCGCTCAGGCCAAGGTGTAGAGACTGAAATTAGGTGTCAGTACGTTGTGGCAGTTTGTCACGAGAATGCTTTGTTCCACTTCAACTAACTTCGAACTTTGTATCTACTCCCTAGCAAACTGTCTTTGAAAATGCACACCAAAACTTAATCCAGTACACCCAAAGGTTCTCAATCCTGGCTACTTTTTGTTTGTAGTGTCCCACCACATAAACTCTATAACTGCCGATTTGCTTTTTATTGCTTTATGGAAAGTGCAGATTCGCTTTCACCTTAATATCTTTGTTATCGTTTTTTGAGAGCTATTTGATTCCTTCGTCTCCTCCCAACATGTTTGACGCAGTCACCTCACACCCATGCTTTCCATGGCCGCGCATGTCCTGTCTGCTTGGTGGTGCTTTGGGCACTTCCACTACAACAGGCGCTTTATCCACCCATTTACTGCTGCCGTCGTAGTTTTCTACAGCTGCCTCTCAAATACGCAAAGGTTCCCCCTTATTCCAGAACTCTTTCTTTAGGAGTTGCACGAAATATGCTTACCGAATGTTGTTCAATTGAAACAAGAGTTCCACGAATCGGCCAGCTGGCCCCCCAGGTGACCTCAGATAAAAAATCGTTGAAGGTTAGGAGGGGTGAAGTAAAATGCACAACTTTATGCAAAAGGACACAAAAGTGGAGTGTTTGTGGTAATCGGCTTGGGATCAGCGCAGCTGACGTTTGGTTAAGCGTATAGTACCAGGAGCGAAAGCGCAGGCGTTTTCATTTGGGGCCTAAAATCGTCAGGTCACTAAGTGAAAGCAAAAATTCCAGGTTAACTGAGCATTCTGTATGGAAACGGGACTTGTGGGTTTGTGTTTGCGTGAGTGCATAGTCCCTAAAATAACGACCTTGTGTGGTCGCCCAAGCACTAAAAGTGTACATTCAATTAAACAACAGACAGAACCGCCTTTCGATAATTCAGTGCCACTTGGTCAGTTTGTCAACAGAAGCGCCTTCGGGGATTTGAAATGCTTTCCTATTTAATTTCGTCTCTGAAGGCTTACTAAATTCGCGGCGTCGAAAGATGAGCACAATCGGATATTTTTCGAGCATGTCCAATTCCAGATCTGTGTATATTCCAAAAGGGTTGAGATCGGCTACGGAGCCATTGCCCTCTAAAACATGAGTTATCATCCGAAACAAGTGCACAATGGCCACACAGCCTCAAAAGAGTAATCCCTGCAGCCTTTGCTTCCGTGCTTTGTTAGGTAATACAAATTTTCTCTGCATTGTGTGGTTTATTGTTTGTACAAAGCACCCTGGCATGAATTAATGCATTGCTCGTGTTGATTTCGTTTACTTCGAAACATGGGTGGTCAGTGATTTGAGGGGAAATGTGATGCGAAAGTTGTGGATGGCACTTGGGTAAAAAGTCCTACCCATTCTTGCCGATCGCCAGTTTGGTACTCAGCCATCATCTCTGGAGTGTGAATTATTCCCGCGTGCGCATCTCTAGCAAACAAGTAAACCGCATGCGTATATTAAATTTCGATTTATCCGTTAATCGGCTGTCATTCGAAACTTGCTCTTTTGACATACGTTTATTAGGTGGATTTAGTACGGACCAAACCAGTCATTCAATTGGAAATCAAATTCCTAAGGTCCTCCTTTAAAAAGGAGTGTTTTGTTCAATTAGGCAAAAATCCTGCAAAAAAAGCACGAATTTGCTAAAGTACTTGCAGTTCTTGCCTCAGATGCTATTCAAACCAATATTACCCAATTTTAAATGAACGTGAGGCAATTTGCTCAACCTGTACTTTTCATGAACAGTGAATTTGTATATGGGACGATCGCTATAGGTCAAGTTTCCCATTGGTTCCCAATGCATGCAGTTCGGACTTCTAGGCTCAAAACTTTAAGGAACATAGTTTTTTTAAATGAAAATCTATTAACCCTGTTTCCCTGTGGAAAATCGCCCGTTTCATAATTGAATGGGTTCCATATTCATACTGTATTTGAGCAAAAATAATTTTTGAAATGTAATTTGGATTTACTGAGTAAGCCCATTTGATTTTTTTAGTTTACACGGAAAGTTATTAAAACGTGGTTTCGTATCAGCTGCATAAACAATGCTTGTGCTTATTTACAGCAAACAGTCTCTTTCCAGGAAGGTTTTGCCGACATCAGCATATTGTGGCAGTTTATCTTAAAGCACCCAGGTGTTATTGTGGGCTTGATGCCGGCGGACCTACGATTAACCGCCAATGCAAGAACCCTTGCTGTCAAGTTGTGGGCATTCGTAATAACAATGGTCAGCATTGCCATAGATACGGTCTTTAAATGACCTCCTGAAGTAGCCTTCTTGACGCAAAGTCTCTGATCACCTAGTTGTGTGAAATTAAGTATTTTACGTGGAATACAAGGAAATATCAAGCACACCCACTGGAATTGTTATTTATGTCATTGGGGAAATACATTTGAGTCTTGTGCGAACTTAATACACGGAGGTAAGGGAAGTAGTTCAAGTATTGAGCTCTTTAGTTCACAGAAGACCGGATTTGTCTTAGCCAAGTTAAGATCTGACAACGCACCAAATAGTGAATGGAATGCAGGTAAAACCATAAACACCATTTTATTTCGATTTAAAAACACCCAGTTGGGGGGGAGTCGTTCGTGTTTTGCATTTTTGTGCACTTCGACCTTGACTCAACTACTGGACAACCTCGCACTCGCGTCCCATTGTTCGAACGACTGCGCCTCCGCTGTTTGTGACAGTTGCGGTACTTTTTTTCCCCCCGTTCACAACAGGAACACAGGGGAGTGCTTTCAGATGCGATGCAGACTTGGTAGCTTTATTTGATTAGTTTCGCTCACCCTATGGAAAAAACCGGCCCCTTATCTTGTTAGTGAAGCCACTCTTCTCTACGCCAAGTCGAGAACAGAGGTAGAGGGAGCAGTGAGCCGTGGGTCTGAGATCGTACAAAAGAAGTGACCTTGTATTTTTTACAAGCTGTGATGGCCTTTCCAGTGGGCCTAGCCACTACGTATGGTCATTGTATCCGCAACCTGCGCAGTTGTGGCGGCATCTGAAACACTCTTTTTGGCTTCTCATCATACGAGAACGTCACTGCTTTGTTAAAACCATGTATGGTTCAAAAAATATTTCGAGCCCATCCAGAGGCACAAGACTGACGCTTATTATATGGGAGACATGTCAAAGTGATATTCCGTCAAAGGTCTTCAACGTCCAGAATTTCCGCGTTTCGAAAGTTTCGAATTGCGTCGACATCGGTACCATCAATGGCCCCATTTAATTAAGGACCGGAACCTCGCATTTGAGTGTTGAATTAAAGGCGTTTTCTAATCGAAGTTTTGGTGTGCTAACACCAACAAGTCTGGGATTACCTGCTTTATTTTTAGGTCTATTATTGTCATAAAATATTTTACTGTTCCAAAAAGGTCCCTGCGCGTGGCTCCACATGGAAAATGCCCCGACCTCAGTGACTTTGTTTCCGTGTGTCTGGTGATGGAGTCGAAAGATGACTCCTTTCGCCCCCTCCAAACATTCATCCAGACAGATGGCAACAACTGCGCTGAGTCGATCACCAATTGCGAGATCAATGAGGGTCACGGAGAATCCACTGCCACCATCCCACCTGCCTCCCTCATCCCTGCCCGTTTTCGATGCAGCATCCTTGATGAATTTGGTAGGGTAGCTTACAGCAATGGTAAGCTCACTCAATTCTCCATAAATTGAGGGACTGACTACAAATTTTACCGACCACTCACAACATTTATTCGCTATTTCCAGCATCCATGGCCACACATTTTCTGATAATTTAACTCCAAAACGATTCCAATGAAAAATCAATTAAAATTCGGTGTTTCTGTGAACGAAAATGTGCCAGATATGCTTCACTTTCGGAAATGGGAAACATTCTAGAAGTGCGTGCTTTTCTTTTCCGTGCCCCCAAATCACGACTTTTTCCTCAGCTATTTTAAGATCGTGCTACCATGATTGATTCAAAATTAGAAAAGTTTATCCAGGAATAAGGTGCCCCGTTTAGCTAAGAATGCGGTATTTCAACACAGTGAGTGGTGATCCTTGACTACCTCAGAGGAAACTGTTTTTCTTGGTTTATCATGCTCTTTAAAAGTTAAACGATACTTAGATTATCAAGTATTTCATAATGTTTACCGGCTATGCCCTCATTAAGTATCGAAACCTCATCGTGTAAAATTCAATTGAATGCTTTTTTTTCAAATAGTATGTTTTTCGGGACAATATGAGGTCTCAGTGTGCGTAGTGGGGATAGCCAATCAGCATTTTTTTAAAAAATAAATCCTTAAAACAGTAAAATACGTAATGAACATGACAACAAGCAGAATCGTGTTCCTAACAGACCCACGTTCTCCCTCGTTACACCTTCTTCAGTCATTTCAAGCACCATTGCACTGCAAACCATGATGCTTTCAAGCTTTATGGCAAATTCTAGAATGGTTCACTTTTTCCAGCCTCAATTCCGGCTGACATATGATCTTTGTTCAAATGAATATGTCTTCCAGATTTCAATTAACTGTAGAGACAAAGTCCTGATATCTAGGACACCGATGTTTCATGGGCTTAATGACACTTACGGCACTATCATCATGGTTACCCTGTCGAAACTCGTACAACATCAAATATCTGACTCTCACCTTTTCCACAGATTATCTGTCTATTCTATTGTTCACAATTTTCAAATGTTTGGAACAATATTTTGCAGGTTCTGTAACAGTTAATAACACCCATGAACAAGTTGGTAATGTTAATTCAATCTATAATAACAGTAACATTTAGGTACCTCTAACAAACAATCGTTCAGCATTCGTAGGCCCTTCCACATTCATTGTCCCTTTTATTGTTTCCGTTAAATGAAATCTTTTTTACCTGAGAATTATAACCACATGGCTTCTTGAATTCTTTCTCACCAATTTCTGTTAGTCTGCAAGAAGTGACGTCACTCCGGTATTCTTAATATGCCATTATAGAAGTAATAAAAAGTGCTATCTCCTGTGAGATTTAACTTGCTCAAAACGGTAAATTACCAAAAGAGCTGATCAGACTTTTTTAATTTCATTAATTCTTCGACGAAATGGGACGCAGGCATGTTATCAATCTCACAAAATTGGTTCTATCATGTTAAATTCACAGTTGACGGAGACGAGGAAGACGAAGAAGATGGATAATTTTGCCCTTAGCTGTAGAGGCATTCATAGACGGCAGGTTTTCAAATGACGCTAGATGCAATGCCCATTTTGGGCAATCCTTCGACTTCTTAATTACAGATCTCGTTGTCAAACAAAACCACAATCATTAACTATGAATAAGTGTCGATTATCTTTGGTATGACATAACATACGTTTTCGTTTGGAAGGAACTGGGTGACATGCAGCCGAGAAACTTAAATCTTCGAAGTTGAACTTTCCTAGCTAACCAAATCAAGCGTTTTTGCGTCTCAAATTTCCCTAACACTGCATATTTTGGACACAATCAGCACAATTTCGTCTAATTGATGGCGGATCTGCTACCATTTTTGTTAACATTTTAAATTGGCCGTCGTTTCGGTTAATTAATAACTCGGACCATTAAGCGGGTGGAATGATTCCACATGGATTGGTGTCGTGGATATTTTCGTAGTATGCTAAGTGTTGTTCTACCCTCAACCACCAAGCAGACTGTTAACTTACCTACAATTAATGGGCGTCTGCTTATGTTTACCCCGTACAGCCACACATGTTTTTTTCATAGGCCTAGATATACTTAAGTCCCCGGTAGATTTCCTGTACAGTTTTGGTGGGGTAGCCCATGGGGCACATGGATAGCAATTTCGATGACTAATTCTGCCAGATATTAGGCTCTGCTTTGACGCTGCCGTCAGTTATCCACAAACTATGCATTTGAATGGTGGAATTCGCCCTATTCTCATTCTTAACTACACACGGGCATCGAAAATGAATGTGTAAAGGCATTAACACTCCCCCGTGACCGATTTTTCCTTTTGGGAACACGTCAGCACGTCCGAAATAGTGTTTGAGGGCTTTGTTTTAGCCAGGGCTCAATGACTAGGTGGCTAAATATTTATCATGTCAAATAAATTTTGGCAACAGAACCACTTATTAGGTGTTTCATGGATAAAAAACTTGCGTTGCAATTATAAATTGCAATCAAACCGCAAGCATTAGCGTATGGACGACCTGTGGATGCTCTATCCGTGATTTATAACTTAAAAGACTGAAGTATCTGTACTTTCTAGATATTTTAGGGTGGATTACCCTATGGTTTATGCCCCTCAAATGTTCCTGGGCACTTGTTTTTAGAAACCGAACGGTACCATTTAGTCGGACCGAAAATGGGCCTCGGATTTTGTCGTTTCGTCGAGCGATCGCGACTCTACCCTCATTTGAAGAAGCCGGATAGCGAGATCTCATCCCAAAAGGGTTACCCATCTCACAATTTAATACCCATTTCCACCACGTCGTCGACCAATGACAATGAACCTATCGACAGTCGCCTTATTGGGCCTGGTGATCGCTTGAGCCTATTTGTGGAGGTAAGCTTAGCTCTCAGCTATCCTTCTTCCACTGATCGAGTATGGTTTCTGTCACTTGGCTACAATGTTAATGAGGCGGAACGTTTAGGCTTCTTCTATGGCAAACACTCTCCTAATCCAATATACCACACCCATCACTTTTTTCGTCTTTGGTGTCTTACTAAATTGAATGGGTATTTTTCAGATTTAACTTTTTTACGTTGTTCTGGTTGAAGCATCACTTTTGTTAAGCTGTGCATTGCTACTGTTATCCTGCAATGTGGGTACATTATGATCACCAATTTACAATGGCGGAACGTACTGACTTCGAAGGGTTAATCAAAATTTAAGCCAGGTAATGAGTAGTCATGTTTTCCCCCCAATTCCTAAAACAGTAAAACTATACCTCCAGCACGGCACGTCTAGAACTCCTCACCCGATGCCTCCCGTGTTAACCTAACATCGTGCAACGTTTAAGCTCAGCGTTTGGTTGCTTTCATTTTTCATTTCGCCCATGCGTAGGTCGCTGTTATGGCGTTGCTGACTGCCCGGATGGGTAAAATCTTAATATCTGATTAACTTCATTTGAATATTGCATTAAAATACACCTTTGATCAACTTCAGATCAAGTAAGGGTTACTCTTAAGGGGAACTTTTGACAGCTGACTAATAGCCTGTGTTGTAAGCACAATGAACCCCTTTCAAATCTGTTTTTTGGCTTTGTGTTTTCCATTTAACTATCTTAATAAGAGGATCAAATGCTTTAAGTTCCATTTTATGTACTTACTACGGGAGTTTTTTCACTACCTACTTCTTGCCCAATCTTTCATTCTGCAGATTCAGATTGCATCATCAATATAACTAATCGTCTGAAGCCACACACTGTCACGTCCACAAGGCAAAACTAAATAATTTTTCCTTAGATATTCTGGATCGAAGAGGAGATCTACGCCTCGCCCGAAGCCATTTCTCCTGGCGTTAATTCTGTGGACGACTATGATGGTTCTCGGTTAAATTTTTCGGAGTTACTATCCTCAATGGAACTAAAAAGTGACCTTGAACGCCTGCTTCAATCGGGCCGCCTGGCCGACATCAAGGTTGTGGTCGTCAATGCAATAACACAGAAAAGCTGGGATAGAACCGCAATTGTAGATATTCATGGGTTGTTCCCGGAGCCCGTAGCTTGTCGGTGCAGTGATTGCGAGACGATGACAGAGTTGTTTCCTGCGGTTCCTGCCCACAAGGCGATCCTGGCGGGTATGTGTGAATTTGTGATTGCATTTTGGATTGAATAACCACTGGCAGTCGTCCGTTAATCCATTTCTTTCCGTGTTTCCTCAGCCTCCTCTCCAAAGCTCCTCAAAATATTCTTTTCCAAAAGTGACTCTCTTCACAAAAATATCGATGTGCTCGTTTTCCGCGGGACTGGTCTTTCTGCGGACATCGCTCCCGTCTTCCTTCGTTGTGTGTATGTTCGCCGACTGGACAAGCGAGTAACACATCTGCAACTCGTGTCACTCCTCCGATTGGCTTCAACGGTATGATATGAACATTATTTGTTTGAATTTAAGAAGTTAATCAATTCAGCAGGGCTGCACACCCCGACAGTGTTTTGAGCTGATGCTTGTTGAATTTTATTGCTAATGTTTCATATCCATAAATAATTGTGTTGATTTTATAGCTTGAAATGCCTGATCTCTGGAAGATCGTTGAGCAGAGGTTGATGGGAATTCTGACGCCAGCAAACGTGTGTCCGCTTCTGGCCACAGCTTCGGATCTGAATGCTCCACTTCTGGTTGACGCCTGCTTGTCTTACATTTTCTGGTGAGTCGGTCATATAAGTGCTACAGCATATCATTAAGTTAAATTTTTGTCAGGATAATTGCGTATCTGTTTACCAGAGTGTTGAGCGATGTAATAGCAGGCGTGAGGAGATCCGGGTGTGCAGATTGGTATGGGCACATATGGAATGCTTTTCTGAATATGTCTGTATTGGCAGCGGTTTTACTCATTCGAAGAACTTGTTATACAATTTTACATAAGTGCTAAGTGTTCATATCAAAGAAGGGGATTGGGCTCGGTAGTACCAATATCAGCCGGAGCCTCTTCACCATGTAGACATGACTAAATTATCGCAAGCTGGTTTAATCGATACTCCTTCAGATTCCTGCAACAATTTCAAACTGTTATCGATTGATGCTTTTGGAAGCATCATATGGCAGATGAAATCCCTGATTTGTACTGGTCGCTCCAGACTTCCGGGTTCTCCATTTGCAGAATTCGACAAATGCATCGAGAATTTGCTCAATATTAGTGGAAATTGTAGAACTAGATTCTTTTTTGAGAGAAAATGCTAAAAGGTTTCAGTGATGCTGAATTTAGACTTGAGAACTTCTGCTCTGCGAGCCTACCATTCAAAGTTTCTTTCAAATTTGAAATTTTTTAACTCTTGGATCACGTTCCGGATGGTGTCAGCCATGCGAAATCCCTCATAACGACATCTGAGCCATACATTTTGAGATTGTTAGTAGTTATACAATATTTTATAATGTTTTCTTTGATAATGGAGGTGTTTTTACTCAATTTTCAACATTAATTTCTTTGTGGCAACCACGTCTGCGTAGTTTTCACCCACTGTCAAATCTCATTTTCAGTTTTCTGCATGGAAAGCAGTATGCACTATTTTTTTGCGCAGTAGCTGTTGGTCACTCATGGGCACGATTTAGTAAATACAACACTAATCGATTTATGACCAATTTCCGCCGGGCTGTGGCTTAATACGAGTTTGGCTATTAGTGGCTGGTCGCCAGCTTAAATCATTGCCTTTTTTATCTAATTTCGTTGAATTGATTTATTGTTCTGTGACATTTCTTAAGTTACAAGCAATGTCTTTGACTGGCTAGACGAAAATCGGGAGAAGTAGTATTGTTTACTTATCAATCATGTCCGGTGTTCAGAATGCGTGAAATTGGAGAAATCAGAGGTTGGATTTTCAAAATGTTTGTCATGTCAAAAGGCACGTCTCTGAATGAGGCCAACTTGCACATTAGTTTGGAATAGGACAACCCGTTTTAACTCTGAGTTGGCTTTCTAAATGACTTCTGTCTTGTGGTATAAATTACGCAACCGAATGTACGCATAAGTGGTGTGGCTAAAGTTGCGTTGTTCAGACGCGGGGCTGCTGTTAAATGCTCCCATTATTTTGTCAAATATCGTAACTCTATGATAAAAGAAATCCTTTATTGAACAAAGTAGTACTTGTGGTTGGGAACTTCGTCGTCCACATTTCAGTGTAATCGAAAATTTTCCATTTAGTAATAAGCGCGCTGCCCATTAGCGAAATGAGGGCTTTTGACGATGCTTCTATGGTATTTATTTCACACAGCAATCGCTAAATACTGATTTCCTTATGACGAATGTAAGGCTTTGTGTTAGCAGTTCCCATCGAATTGCCAAGGTAACCAACAGATCACCTGCACTGTAGAAATCCTCATGCGTCAAGACCACATTTCTAATTCTACAAAGGTGAATTACAGTGAAATATGACTGAATAGTAGGATAACTACTTTCAAAGCGTTCGTTTTACTGAAATTTTCTACATTTAAATCATTAGGCGATGATATACTAATTTTCATGTGTTTCTGCAAACCTCCAAGTCCCAATTCATTTATTATCACACTTAAAGGATGGCACAGTGTACCACATTTTTTTCTCCAAAATATCTCTTTTAGGATTGGCAGTTTAGTGAGAAGAATCACTTGTAATGGTACAATGACGCTCCCAGATTTCAATTCTGTTCATGAATGATCTTGATTTCCGTCACTCAGAGCTTCTGAGGTGCTAACCTTTGGGGTTGAGCCATTGGAAGACCGCCTATCCTAGCTCCATAAATGACTCGCGTTGCAAATTAGAGAAAATGATGTTGGTGATACCAAAGGCAGAGACCCACGTCTTAGAACCAAATGGCCATTGTGGGTCACTGAACCACCCCCCCCTCAAACATTCTGAGAACACATTGACGATGTGTCACGAGGTAACGATGAAACCGCAACGACTTGAGTCAGCTTATTGGGACTTCGAAAGCCATTCGCTTCATGAACCTGCGTTGAAAAATCAAGGCTTGCAATTTTGTATTTCATCGGGTGTGGCATTCGTGCGTCAATCGTTGTAATAATCTAGCGGCTAACTTGGAATCGTGTGAGATAACTTCTTTGGATTTGGTTTGCAGGACTTTAAGTTGACATTTTGCACAATTACACCGCCTCACTCAATGGCCAAACATTGTCTGCTGACTTACCCAGTCTTTTGCAGACATCTGAAATCCCTAGTTTTCTCCCTCACTTACGTAGACCTCTATGCTCGTTGTCCCACCTTTTTTCCAAGCCAAACACCACCAAAAGCTGCGGTTGGAGTTTTCTTGCAGAATTGAAAAAGCCGGCCCGACTGCCCCAAGTTTAAATTGAGAGATGGAACCATCTACGTTTTTGAAATGACTTGAGTAACAGTTTAGTACCATAAAACTAATGGCATGGTCGCCAATTAAGTAGGTTCTTTTGGCTTAGAATCAGTGAGGCTGATAATCTTATTTGAGTATAATATAGTTGCAAACAAGTCATAAATACATATCGGATCAAGTTTGTCTGTCGATGTACTCTCTAACTACTATGGGATTTGAGGCGATTCGCGGCTGCTTTTAGTGCGGTTGACCTGAATTCACTCGTGAATGGTTGCTGTAATCACAAGTATTCATCCGACCAAGCTTGGCTCGTGTTTCTAGATCGTCTCGCTTCGTGATTCTTGTCTAAAATGCCTAACCTTATGTGTTCACACAATACACAAGAATACAATAGCTTCGCAAACCGCTAAATGAGGGATATTCTTTTCTCGACTTGGTGGTCATGGAGACGGTTGTGGATGTGACATCTACCAGAAACTTCAACCCCATCTAATGCTGCCCCACCAAATCCATCTTGTCCCAGTCCCAGCCTAGAACTAATCCGAACAACCTGACGTCGTATCTTCTCACAACTGATAGTTTTGCTAATTGATTCATTGGGGCTCCCGGTTCCTAAAAAGCTCCTTTTGATTTTTTGTTTGTTCCTTTACTTCGTGCGTAACTTATTTGCAAACTACGTATCCGAGATGAAATCCTAGGGAAAAGGCAGCTTTGTCTTTTAATTTGCTCCTTGGTTGAAACAAAGGAATGGATAATTAGCCAGCCGCTTTACGAGATTCGTAGTTTTGGTGTAAAATTTGAATGTGAGCAGTTTGACGCTGGTTTTTCGTTAAGATAATAGCTCGTTCATCGACCAAATCATTCACTAAAAAAAACGTCAAAAATTAAAGCCATCAATTGTTGTTTATCGTTTCTTTCTATCTTTCTACAAATTGAATGACCTTGTTTCAACAAAGATCTGTTCTAATGTCGAAGTGGTCATTAAGTTAATTTTTGAGCTTTTCCTCCTTGTCACATGTCAGTGCACTCACTCGGCTTCAAATCAACCGGAAAATGTGATATTTGACTGAGCGGAGTCCGGGCTGTTTGGATGTAACGAGGATGGTGACTTGTGAAGTGCGTGACCAAGCATTGTAACACTGCCTGATCACCTGCTTTTAGTAATCAGGTCGTCGTCGTTGAGTGGTTTCATGAAAATGGCATAATTGGGCGATTCCTCCCCACGGTTGCAGTTTTGAAGTCTTGGTATGTTCTGTTTTATCACAAATTATCGCGACACTCACGCTGATCCTTGACTATTGATTCCCAGTGATGATAAATGGTCTTCTAATTGTGAGTAATCTGCATAGCCTAATTCGCTTCTCGGTGTCAATTTTTGTTGAAAACGCATTTAACCATTTATCACGGATGCTGACGCGTTCTTCATTGATTCCGATGATTTCCCATTTCAGGTCAGCAACACCGAAACCGCAATTAAAGGCAGGAAACACGAGGTACCTTAAACGCGAACTTGGCACCTATTTAATTTGGGTCGTAGGCTCGGGTTTGAGAATCGCACCAGAGATTCAGCGGGGCCAATACTGGAAATTAAATTTGCAAGACCAGTGGTGAATGTTTCACTAAATACCATAAATTGACCTGATGAGCAGTCTCCGGTTCAGTTAGATTCAGGGCTTGTATCCAAACATATTACTCAAATACCTGTGAACTACACGTGCATTCATCATCCGAATAACAGGTTGTATCCACATTTGTTAATTCCCTCTTTGCTCTCATTCGAAGTCGAACTCAACATGGTGAATTTGTTCGATACCGTTTGCCTCATTAGGACTTTATACTGACTACAGTGTAGTAGGATTAGACTCATTATTCTCAGCATAATGGAAATGGGTACTTGAATTTTCCTCTTTACTCGTCACTAAAAATTGGATAAATCACTCAAATAAAGGCTCTTCCAAACCCTTCACATATTGACCCAAAGAGGAAATTACTCATTTACTCAAGCCCCAGTTTACCGCAATTAATGATTCTTTCACGTAGCCTCCCGGAACTTAAGGATCCCTTGGTTTTCGACACCTCTCCATCATAGTACATTACCTTAGCCGGGTGTCTTCCATTGCTATGGGTCGAAGCACACCCAAAATTACATATTATTTAGCGGTTGCACTGTTTTGCACAACAGATCTAGCTCAGTTTAGAGTGAGGTAAGTTGCTACTATAATGACTAATAAGGTGAATAGATTAAGTGTATCTTGTAATGTTTGGCTGGCAAGCTGCCGTAATAACGTAGGAAAAACTAGAATGGAGGCCATTGGCTTTACTCCCTGGATGTTACGCAGTGTACTGATATGTACGACATGGAAACTCCTTGACAGACGATAGGTTGCCTGGCATCCACGTGAGTGTCGGCCCTGATTCCAGAAATGCGCTCCTACTTTTGGCTTTCGTGGCATCATTAGTGGCGTCCAGAACACTTTCCCACACCACTCTGTCATCGTCGTTTCATCCTCGGCTGAGTATCTTCTTGCGTGCGTGAATGCGGGTAGCGCAGTACGCCCCTAGACCTTGACGCCCGCGTAACTTTGATTGGTTGTAAGCTGTCCTGCTTGTCGGACAAGGGCACACATCCATGAAGAGTCAGTACGCCAGGACGAATTGTTTACGAAAACACCTCGTTAGTTTGCAGCGAATAGACTTGAATTTTCAAAATGTCTTCTAATTCTACAATATCGTTGTATTTTCACTTAATAATTTGCCCAAAATGACCCGATGCACTCTTTCCAAGTTAACCATGTTGGTCCAACTTGGAAACATCCGAACGTGACAGTGGCTATCTGAGTTATATCTGCCTCAAATTCGCTGTTTCCTTTGCCTAACCGCAGAACTAACACTATAGTCGAGATTAAACCAGCTTATCACGTAGAAGCGCTTCTACTGATCACAGTAGACTTTTAAACTTGAACTGGTTCAGATTTGTGCGTGCTGAATTATTAGTAATAGTAAAAATATGAATGATGAAAAATTTTTTTGATTTATCATGAGACCGTATACCGTGGAGCCAGCAGTACGTCAAATTTTCATGGTCCGATCCGTAGTAAATTTCTGTCAACTGCAAAACATCAAATCAATTCATGGAGTGGGGGAGTTATGTTCACCAAATGAAGCTGATCCTGAGATGCCCGACATTGAATGTTTTGATTACGAGTATTTTGAGATGAGTTATGTATTTAAAAATCGACACTTGGGATAATTGCAGAGTAGGTTACAGATGCTTTGATCCAAAATTTACCATACTTTAATTGTCTTGTTTGCCTTTCTTTATTTGCAACTTTAATGCTTTTGCGCGCCTGTCAAGGTGCACCCCAACAAGTAATTGCATTCTTTCTGACGAGGTCTCAGCTGTCCAGATCACGTATCATCAGGTAATGATTACGCCCATTTTGAAACTCACTAAGTAAGAAGAGCTATTGGAAATTTCACGGATCAACCTGATGGCCAGATTTTACATCAAAGCTAATCGTTTTTCGTTTTTATTCTCAGCAATATGGATTCGGTGATGAAGTCAGACGGTTACCAATGCATCTGCATGAAGCGCCCAGACTTGCTATGTCTTCTCTTCCGTCGGATAACTTTAATCAGAAGTATTAATTTGAACTCTCCGTCCCCACCTCCTCCTCTCGCCACTTTGGCTCTTGACCAAATTCTGGGTCTCCGTCCAAGTCAGTCCAACTTCGGTGTGTGCTCTGACGATAATCGAAATCCAACATGTTCTTCTTCCATACATGGTGATTCATCAAGTCTTTCTTCATTCCGAGGTGAAGTTGAAAGCCAACACTACAACCCCCTTACACACCCTCGCCACACCACTATTTTATCAACAAAATTGGACCTCTTCAGTGGTTATTCTTCTTTACGTTAATTAGTGTTAATATATAGTCATCTCTAAATGACCCCAACGTCCCTATTTTAAACATTACGTACGCTCTTAGTGTTATTGCATAAGAATAAAGAGAAAGTACGCCCTTAGCGGTGCACTAGCATCAAACCTTCATGGTGCCTTTGGGCTAAGTAGCTTGGGTCTGAGTTAGTGCAACAACAGAGTGAAGCATGTTTTGAATATTTCTCGTTGCAAAAACTGTGACGTTTGCTTCACAATTACCCAATTATGTATATTAGCCATTTAAAGGGTAAGGATTTGGCCCTTTTTTAAGATAAGTTATTGTGTGCTTAAAAAACTCAAGATTCATATATTGACAAATGAGAGGATCGAGTTCTGATCCGATTTAGTACGTAGTAAGCTATTGTGACCTTATTATTTGGTAGGTTAAATTTATTTTGAGCTTCCTTTCATTCGCTATATTTCTGCATTTGATACACTGGTTTTATGTCAATATCAAAGTGTCATTCTCTTAACTTTGATATATAACAGCGCGAGTGCCTAAGACAATTTATTTCAAAAGAGCTATGACATAGAAAATAAACGGAAATTGTATTTGGCGAGCCTCTATCACACCAATTTGAGTGAATGGAATCAATGATTCGATAAGGAAATGCAAGTACAGCTAAGCCTTAACTCCAGTGCTGGGGTTATGTTAAAAATTATCTGTAGTGACTCAATGTTGAAAAACGGGGATTCCTGATTTTCATGAAGTGAAGGTAGAAGGAATATGGTCAACACTGCAGGATAAAATGTTATGGATGATCGGATTCTTCGTCACAAATGCAATTTTGTTTCCTAGTGAAGCTCAGTCATTAGCCTCATTCGAAATTTCTGAATTCGGTGATTCTTTAAAGTCCAACATTTCATTTGTAGAATCCGATGATAGTGTGTGGAACATTAAAAACCTTATAGATTAAGTACTGCCCCTTGAACCCCACCTTCCGAGTGCGCTGTATCTAAGCAATGAAGAAAAGCATTTACAACGTTATTTGTGAAAAGAGTTTCCGCAGACCTCTAAACTAAACTTACAAAAGAGTCACAATCAAATCCGATCACTTTATTAATATTTGATTTATATGAAAAGCCCAATCCCAGCTGCTCACATATTTATTAGGAATTTAATCATGTAAGCCAGATTTTCAAAATGCGGAGGTATGCACTCACGGATGGTTGGTCGAGCAAAAGTGGACTAAAATTTAACGCTGCAAAACTGTTGTATAGTCTAATAAAAATTTCGCTCGATATCTATTAGAGAGCATCATTTTCACTTTTCCGAAATTACTTTTACCCGGAAATAACTATAAGTATGGTGCTAGTTATTTTATGTTACTTATAATGATTGTTAATGTTTATTAGTAACGTTCGGTACTGTTTTCTTAAATTAAATTATGCAAAATAAGCCCAAATGTAACGCTCAAGTAGGAATCAGACCTAAGAGAATAAATGGACTACTTGTAAGTCGGCATCAGAGGCATGATCCAAGCGAACACACAGAGTATGGCATGGCACGAAGACAGAAAACATGTTGAAGAATTTATTTGGAGAATGATTACAAGACAAATAAAGGAAAAAGAGGACCAACTTGACGAGGGGTTTTGAGGGCCACACTAAGATCCATATACTAACTGTTGAGTAGGCCTAAAAGGGTAAATATATAGGAAGAAGTTACCAGGCATGAATAGTGTCCGATGACGTGGAAGGTGGCATGGGTGACACAAGGTAATCGCTAATGTTTACGAAAGTTTTTGAAGAGAGATAATTTTTTTTAATAAACATGTGCTTAAATTACTCAACTCTGAACGCAAATCATAGCCCTTCATTGCACATTTTGACCATTATTGTGTTTGGGGAAAGTTATGTAAGCCTGTTAGTATGCAGATGCATTAAGAAAAATTTAAGTGTATAGGAAAGACCCAAATACTAGGCTATCACTTACTGTTAAACACGCAATAAAATTTTCAAGACTTAATTAGTAGCGCTGGAGCTCTGAGATATTTGATGAGCTTGACAATTATATAGGCAATACAAAGTAAAACGCTTTAGATTTTTTAATAAGCACAAGCCATAAGAACTAGATGCCAGCAAATGAAGCATTCTTAGGATTTATATAATCTCTTACCTTAGAAGAGCATGCAATAATACTGATCACAAAAATAATGCTACTTTCAAACAATTCGAAACGAAAAAACCGACAATATTAATCAACATAAAGTTATAGCGCATTAAAAAATTTCTGTGTAATAAAATGTTTTAGGACATTATAAATTAAAACTTGTCTTAGTTAGGTCAGAAAAGGTTTTATTCGTTTTTGTTTATACTTTTCAGATCTGCAATGAAAATGTGTGGCTTTTGCGAAATATTCTGGGAATGAGCTGTTTCCCGTATTCATCCAGGGATGTAAAGGGTGAGAGGTGTCGGAAGTCTTATTTACAGGTATTTTTTTTTGTTTGTATCATTTATTCTTAAAATAGTGTTTTAAGCATCGTTATAATGCTTATTTGTGTCTGTTTATTTACTTGTAAAGAGATAGACTTTTGTGCGATATTCTCAGTTTAGTTAAACGCGCCTTTGTTATTTACCATCGTTTTATACTGTCGTGATATCAATGCGTACCTGTAATATGGTCTCGTATTTGTTAACTGGCTTTCCTTTATCTACCAGTGGGCTCATTTTCGCACATGGTCATTGCGGCCTTAATCTTATGTTGTATCGTTTAAGGAGCCCGTGAGCCCAAAAAGTATTTTTCCAGACTTTAACGCCAGATACAATTACACTGTTGGAGAATACAAACAGTTACACTGTGTATGATGTACCTGTTACCACTCGTAAAATCGATTGTCAGGTGCTATATATTCAGTCGCAACGTCTGATATAGGACTCAGTAAATGTTAATAGTACTTGAAGGGTTATTTGTAAAATTGTGGAATAGGTTAGTAGATAGTTCAAAAGCAAAGGTGACATGGTGTTCTAGTGCGGGTTGTGAGAGGAATCAACTTGAGGACGTGGCAGTTAGCGAGTGCCTAATAGGATAGGACGCCTCACTAATGTCTGCCGACTATCTTTTTTGTCTAATCTGTATGAGTTCATTTTTCTAATAACTGATTATAAATTCGTCTAAACTTTAGTGAATCAATGTTTTCGAGAGCTTGTGTGAAAAATTTAGTCCTGGTCCATCACCTTTGCTAACGTTTGTATGCATTAATCAACTGTTTGTTTTCATGGTTTCACAAATGTTGGATGTATCATTTGTTCCTTTTGCTGTTCACATTTTGCTGCTATCATCAGGGTGGCGGAGTTTCAGGTAGTTGCGGTTAAACCAGTTAACGCTCTTTCTTTATCATTCGTGCAATTCAATTTTATTTTAGTCCTGGGACGCCTATGAGTCAGAGAATAATGTCTACCCATTTGATTCACCAGCGATGGATCCTGCCGGCCGGACTCCTGCACCGCCACTCCGAACAACTAGCACAGCTTCTAGCAGCGGTGCTTCGAGTGTTGGTGTCAGCGGAATGGGTTGTGATGGTGGTGGACTAGTAAACCTTTTCTCGAAACCCCTACCTCCAACACCTGGTAGTGAGCGACGTGATAGACGAAGCAAAAGGAACAAGCACAGTGGAAGCTTAGGACCTCCGCCTCCCTCACTGAATATTTCCTTTCCCATGAAAGTGCACCATGAAGTCCATGTTACTGTCGACCCAATTAGTGGCGAATTCACGGTATGCTTCTCAACCTGTTGTTTGTACTTAACTCTCAACGTTGTACTTTAGATATTTTTCCCCACTTTTCATATCGCTCAAATCATCCAAAATATTATTAGCTAGGTAAGGGATCGTCACTTTGGGTCATTTAAGCCATAAATTTCCGTTATTTTTTGTTGATCCCTCCACAAGCTGTTTTAGTAAACCTTGGTTTTCATAGATTTGTGTTATTGATGTGGGTATAATCCACTTGATTGGTATCCTCACCGTCTATTGTAGGGTATGCCGGCAGAATGGGCTGCAATGCTTCGACGAGCTGGTATCTCCGTGCGTGAACAGCAGCAACATATGGAGTTGCTTTGTAATGCACTAGAAATTTGTACAATTGAAAAATCAACTGGAACTGTCAAATATATGAACGACCTTTCCAACCATACTAGTGAGTTGTTTAGCACCAGAATTCCTTCTCACTTTATTTCTGCGTTCATGTTTCCAGTGTATCTATAAAAAAAGAAGCATTTGTCCTTTTTCGTTAACTTTATAAAAAGGTGTGTTTTGCGTCTGTAGGATTGGATTTTCCGTGTTTTTTGTTGTTCAAATAC